AATCACACTACACCAGTCATTAGCATATTGACGCACAATTCTAACTAGCTCGTCCATAGTGCAGGACCTATTAAATAGGCAGACATGTGTGAGATTTTTTTGTATTATCTTTGGGCAATCAAAGTAGCTCTGGGATACATATATCGAACTGACATTGTAGTGGCGCCCCTCAACAAAATAAGGGATGATCTTCTCCTGCACTTTCTTTGGATCAGCATATATATCTTTGAATATAGCTACTGTACCTCTATCTGGAGAAAATGAATCTATCTTAGGGATTTTATCAGGCTTCAAAGCTTGAAATGAAATATTTTCACGATATAGCTTTGGGCTATTAGCAATTATTTGATAAGCTGATTTGAGATACAAATATTTCAGCTCCTTGAGTTGGTGGCCGATTAATAGCAAATCATTATTCTTAATATATCTGCTTCCATCTTTTTTTCTATTAAACATCCGATAAAGCTTATTTCCAAGCATAAGATTAAGAACTTTATTAGTTTTCTCTGAATTAGTATGACCTGAAATTAGAAGAGTGAAAGGCCATTGAGGCGTACTAGAATGGCTATTATATTTTTGAGCATCTTTAATCTCGTTAATGTAGTATACGAGCCTATCAACTGGCTCAAGCTTTTTTATTTTTATATCAAATTAAGTATTACTAATGATATACTAAAAATAATTTTTTTTAATCCTTCGCTTTATCCAAAAACCCTTTCTCAATTAGCATATGTCTAATAAAAAGCAAAAGATCACATATGTATAGCACTTCGATAAGGCATATATCTTGGTCCTTGCATATATCCCACTTCTTTTGATCACGTATATTTTGTGATTTTAGATTTTCATTCTCCTGGTGATAGAAACTATTATGATGATAGTGTTAAGGACCCTGGAATTCGAATGCAAGACACAATTTCTCATTATATTCATCCAAGTGTAGCCTATCTAAAAACTTAGCCCTACATAGTAGGAATTTTTTGCTTAACAAATCCTCAAAAATATATCGGCATTGACATTCGCTGCTTGAATAGTTGGCATAGAGAACACCATTTGAATTTTTTCATTATATATTTTAATGGATACTCCCATTGATGTGCACCACTCTCACAAGACCAGAGATAGATACCGTGTCTATATATCTGGCCAGTTTTTCCAAGACAAATTCTACCACGTTGACTAGCATAATTTTTAGCTTGAATTATCTCATTATTGGTAGAAGAAGCATATACAGTATATACGGATAATATACTTTGAGGGGAAAGCTCAGGGTCACGAGTCAAATGCATGAGTTCCTCTCATACAAATCCCTGTTTTGGAGCAAATTCATCATCATTACTCCCAAGATAATATAAAACTGGTTCATTTTTAGATACTACAATTTTTCAAATTTTGTGAATACTTGGACTCCAGTATGAATCAGTGCTCCTACGCACTGCTTCCATCCCACCTTCCTATTCAGCATTGGCAAAAAAATAGCGAACAGAATCACTTTTTTTTAATGCTATTTCATCCTTACCAATGAGTTGCTTCGATGATTTTGATGGCTTAGATTCGACCTCTCCTAATAAAATAGCTTCTGAAGGTGCTAATTCCCATTTTGAAGAACCTGGTTCTCTAATAAGGTGTGTAGGATAATTGTTTAGGTAATCAACAACTTTTGGTAAATATCTAACCCATGCTCTTATTAATCTTGGATCAGAAGATATAGACTCAATAGCATACTGAATCTTATAGAGCATGTCCTCTTCCGTCTTATTGTAACGTTCTATCATTGCAAGACTTCTATGACTATAGGGTTCTATTACTCGAATCGTAACATTGTGCTTCTGCATTAGTTGAGAAGTCTCACCCATAAATTCATGACTACCATCATATTGTAGAAGCTTTGGCCATGTCAATGGGTTATTTTGATCTTTATATATTTTTCTAAATGCTTTAGCAACCTCTGAACTATTCTTAGATATAAGTAGAACAGAAGCTTTATATCTGGAAGCGCAGTCTATTATATTAAGTACCGCTTTATAGGTTTTAACTCTGTAATGATCATGGGTAAGAAATAATATATTACACTGATGTACATAATTTGGTCGTGTTATTTTTCTATAACTGATTCTAGGAATATATTTAGGTGGGGCATATAGATTTGATACGATTGCTAGCATTCCAAAAAATCTTTGCATTCACTTAGCCGAAATTGATGCTCCTCTTTCTTACAAGCATCTCTTAAGGATTTAGGGTTAGAAAAATATCTAGTAGGTCGATAATATATCTCTCGTAGAATAAGATTCTGTTCTATACTATGAGCCTCATTTGGATTGATATAAATAACTAGCTTTCTCATTAGTTTATTCAATAATAGTAAAAAAAAATATGGAGGAATTATAACAAAGTAACCAAGAACTTCATGAGGTAGTATCCCAATTGGCAGAATCAAATAGGAATTTTAAAAAACGTCTATATATCTTAGAAAGAATTATTGGTATACGGGAAGAGAAAATACGATTTTTTGAAGAAGAGTTAAATAACACCATCGAGCTTTCTAGACAAGACAAAGAAGAATTATTAGAAGAAATTTCAAAATTAAAAAGGATTGTCCACCAACTCGAAGAAGAAAATAAAAGGAAAGACAAAGAAATTTCTAATAAAGATAAATTAATATCAGAATTTGATAAACGAGAGACAAAATTAAAAAACAGAATACAGGAGATATCCAAATCTGCGGGCAATATCCCCAAAGCACAAGATTATACAACCAGATTAGTGGATGAGAATGAACGGCTTAAACGAGAAATAAATACGGTAAGAACTAATCAAATGAATAGGATTAACAAAATAACTCAACAAAAAAGCCATATTACAGACCTGTTTTGTCAAAATTTTGCATTATCCTTATTAAGATATAGAGATAGATCGGAGCTTATAAATACCAGAGAGGCTTTGCAAAATACAGAAGCACAGAACTTTAATGAAAATGAATCCAACTCTGATGAGTATTCTTTAGATATTTATAATTTTGATCAAAATTTAGATATAGGTACAATAGCTGAATTAGCTGATGCTATAGACTACTCTCTAGATGATACAACAATATGTCCAACTATTTTAAAAAATCAAATTAAGAGGCCAACAAGATCAATTCGACGAAAATATGCTAACCTGCAACAGGATTTAGTAAATGAACGATGGAATTGTGATATATACAAGCAGGAGCATGATCAAGTGATGCAGGAGCGTGATCAGTTGCGGACTAATGCTCAAAATCAAGTAAACAGAATGTTAGACAATATAACAGGAAAGCGAACCCGTATTTGTGTATTACTACAGAAAAAATTTGCCTTACAAATCTTATATCAACGAAATGCTCACCACCTACAACGATGCAGAGCCGATAGAGGTTTGTTAGAATATAATAGAGACAGACTCTATGAGCGATATGAGAAATAGAAAAATAAAACTCATGCAGAGCGCCAGAATATTTTAATTTTAAATCAACAATTTTTTGTGCTACAGAATAACTCATTAATATACAACAAATAGGAATGACAGGGTATGCACCCAAAAGATTCTCAGGTAGAGCAGATGAAAATATAGATGAATTCATAAAAGATTACAGACTTTATCTTACGGCGGCCAATATTAATACTGCTAATGCAGCTAGCAAACAAAGAGCTTTAGAACTATTTCGGTCATACTTGACAAGTGAGGCATCATGTTGGGTCAAAAACAAACTCATAGATTAAAAATAGCAATTGAATCATGTAAGATGTAGGAATGTTTTAGCAAATATGCCCGCCATAGTGGCCCTAAATAATGCTAACATAACGGCCGCCATGATCAATGCACCAGATGGTACTTTACCACCAGCATTACCGGGTAGAGCTACTGGTGCCACAGTTATTCTAGCACATAATGTTCATATAGATGAGGATTGGTCTCTTGCTAGGGGTGTCCTGTAGATGCTGGTACAGCAACTAATACACCAAATAGAGTTTTAAATAATAATAACCATATAGTCCTTCCTGATATCAATATTAGTCAGGTCATCTATTGGTTTAAAAGAAATTATCCTACAGTTGTTCGAGAGCAACAACAAATGATTTTTGGTACTTTGACTCAAGGATCTGATTCAGTTAGAGATTACTATAGAAAGATAGATAAATATGCTAGTTGGGCCCAAATATCTGATCGTGAAAAAAGAATACAATTTATACATGGCCTATTCCCTAAAAACAAGTTAGAATTGAAGCGATTAGGTTTAAACAGACCTTTGAATGACGATTTGATTGAAACCTTGGAACAGATTGAAATAGAAAAGAATGATATACTTTTGGGTAAGGATATTTATAACTAGCCAGCTACTAAGACAAAACCAAAAGCGCCTTTTAATCAGGGTATTACTACAGAAGATGTTGATAGGATTGTAAATAGTAGGATTTAGGCATTACAGCAATCAACGCTAAATCAATCACCAGCATCTTCTTCTGGTTAGGAAAATATTACTAAGGCTGATTTACAAGCTATAGCTAAATCCTTGCAAGAGACTATGTCTTAAGCGACTAAAACTTTAGATAATAGTAAAAAATCAACTGATAAGAGAGTGAAAAATACTGCCGTTATACATTTTTTGAGTAATTTACTAAGAAAAAAACTATATATACATCCTGCCGATGAAAATAATCATGATCCTGTAGATGATATTTCAGATAGCTTAGCGGGATTAACATTAAATAGTGTTATAAATACTGCTGTCAAATATGCTATTAAAAAATCCTCTTCAGGCCACAAATGTTCTAAGTGTGGAAGGTCTGATCGCAATTCTTGAAACTGCCCTCGAAAGAAGAAAAAAAAAAGCAAGAAGTCTAGAAAAGGTAAGGTTAACCTAGCCACTATAGATTCAGACTCAGATTCAGATTCTACCACTAATACATCATCTAGTGACAGTTCTAACTCTGATACAAGTTCAGAGAATTCTTCTGATTCTGAAGGTGATATCATCGTTAACATGGTAAGTCTTTAGAAATAAGTAAATCTTCACTTTGGGGCTCTATTTTCTTCTGTATAGAAGGTATCTGTTTTGATGTATTAGCTTTATTAGAATCAGAATTAGCGTTTGGGGGAAATATTGCAGGAAAAATTAGTTTAAGTTCATTTTGGAGAATTTTACGAATAGTTTTCTCCAATGAAGTTTTAGACATCTTTTTAAGGGCCAATTTTTTGGAGCTAGAGTTTTGCTTCACTTTTTTTTTAACTTAGCCATGTTAACGATGATATCACCTTCAGAATCAGAAGAATTCTCTGAACTTGTATCAGAGTTAGAACTGTCACTAGATGATGTATTAGTGGTAGAATCTGAATCTGAGTCTGAATCTATAGTGGCTAGGTTAACCTTACCTTTTCTAGACTTCTTGCTTTTTTTTTTCTTCTTTCGAGGGCAGTTTCAAGAATTGCGATCAGACCTTCCACACTTAGAACATTTGTGGCCTGAAGAGGATTTTTTAATAGCATATTTGACAGCAGTATTTATAACACTATTTAATGTTAATCCCGCTAAGCTATCTGAAATATCATCTACAGGATCATGATTATTTTCATCGGCAGGATGTATATATAGTTTTTTTCTTAGTAAATTACTCAAAAAATGTATAACGGCAGTATTTTTCACTCTCTTATCAGTTGATTTTTTACTATTATCTAAAGTTTTAGTCGCTTAAGACATAGTCTCTTGCAAGGATTTAGCTATAGCTTGTAAATCAGCCTTAGTAATATTTTCCTAACCAGAAGAAGATGCTGGTGATTGATTTAGCGTTGATTGCTGTAATGCCTAAATCCTACTATTTACAATCCTATCAACATCTTCTGTAGTAATACCCTGATTAAAAGGCGCTTTTGGTTTTGTCTTAGTAGCTGGCTAGTTATAAATATCCTTACCCAAAAGTATATCATTCTTTTCTATTTCAATCTGTTCCAAGGTTTCAATCAAATCGTCATTCAAAGGTCTGTTTAAACCTAATCGCTTCAATTCTAACTTGTTTTTAGGGAATAGGCCATGTATAAATTGTATTCTTTTTTCACGATCAGATATTTGGGCCCAACTAGCATATTTATCTATCTTTCTATAGTAATCTCTAACTGAATCAGATCCTTGAGTCAAAGTACCAAAAATCATTTGTTGTTGCTCTCGAACAACTGTAGGATAATTTCTTTTAAACCAATAGATGACCTGACTAATATTGATATCAGGAAGGACTATATGGTTATTATTATTTAAAACTCTATTTGGTGTATTAGTTGCTGTACCAGCATCTACAGGACACCCCTAGCAAGAGACCAATCCTCATCTATATGAACATTATGTGCTAGAATAACTGTGGCACCAGTAGCTCTACCCGGTAATGCTGGTGGTAAAGTACCATCTGGTGCATTGATCATGGCGGCCGTTATGTTAGCATTATTTAGGGCCACTATGGCGGGCATATTTGCTAAAACATTCCTACATCTTACATGATTCAATTGCTATTTTTAATCTATGAGTTTGTTTTTGACCCAACATGATGCCTCACTTGTCAAGTATGACCGAAATAGTTCTAAAGCTCTTTGTTTGCTAGCTGCATTAGCAGTATTAATATTGGCCGCCGTAAGATAAAGTCTGTAATCTTTTATGAATTCATCTATATTTTCATCTGCTCTACCTGAGAATCTTTTGGGTGCATACCCTGTCATTCCTATTTGTTGTATATTAATGAGTTATTCTGTAGCACAAAAAATTGTTGATTTAAAATTAAAATATTCTGGCGCTCTGCATGAGTTTTATTTTTCTATTTCTCATATCGCTCATAGAGTCTGTCTCTATTATATTCTAACAAACCTCTATCGGCTCTGCATCGTTGTAGGTGGTGAGCATTTCGTTGATATAAGATTTGTAAGGCAAATTTTTTCTGTAGTAATACACAAATACGGGTTCGCTTTCCTGTTATATTGTCTAACATTCTGTTTACTTGATTTTGAGCATTAGTCCGCAACTGATCACGCTCCTGCATCACTTGATCATGCTCCTGCTTGTATATATCACAATTCCATCGTTCATTTACTAAATCCTGTTGCAGGTTAGCATATTTTCGTCGAATTGATCTTGTTGGCCTCTTAATTTGATTTTTTAAAATAGTTGGACATATTGTTGTATCATCTAGAGAGTAGTCTATAGCATCAGCTAATTCAGCTATTGTACCTATATCTAAATTTTGATCAAAATTATAAATATCTAAAGAATACTCATCAGAGTTGGATTCATTTTCATTAAAGTTCTGTGCTTCTGTATTTTGCAAAGCCTCTCTGGTATTTATAAGCTCCGATCTATCTCTATATCTTAATAAGGATAATGCAAAATTTTGACAAAACAGGTCTGTAATATGGCTTTTTTGTTGAGTTATTTTGTTAATCCTATTCATTTGATTAGTTCTTACCGTATTTATTTCTCGTTTAAGCCGTTCATTCTCATCCACTAATCTGGTTGTATAATCTTGTGCTTTGGGGATATTGCCCGCAGATTTGGATATCTCCTGTATTCTGTTTTTTAATTTTGTCTCTCGTTTATCAAATTCTGATATTAATTTATCTTTATTAGAAATTTCTTTGTCTTTCCTTTTATTTTCTTCTTCGAGTTGGTGGACAATCCTTTTTAATTTTGAAATTTCTTCTAATAATTCTTCTTTGTCTTGTCTAGAAAGCTCGATGGTGTTATTTAACTCTTCTTCAAAAAATCGTATTTTCTCTTCCCGTATACCAATAATTCTTTCTAAGATATATAGACGTTTTTTAAAATTCCTATTTGATTCTGCCAATTGGGATACTACCTCATGAAGTTCTTGGTTACTTTGTTATAATTCCTCCATATTTTTTTTTACTATTATTGAATAAACTAATGAGAAAGCTAGTTATTTATATCAATCCAAATGAGGCTCATAGTATAGAACAGAATCTTATTCTACGAGAGATATATTATCGACCTACTAGATATTTTTCTAACCCTAAATCCTTAAGAGATGCTTGTAAGAAAGAGGAGCATCAATTTCGGCTAAGTGAATGCAAAGATTTTTTGGAATGCTAGCAATCGTATCAAATCTATATGCCCCACCTAAATATATTCCTAGAATCAGTTATAGAAAAATAACACGACCAAATTATGTACATCAGTGTAATATATTATTTCTTACCCATGATCATTACAGAGTTAAAACCTATAAAGCGGTACTTAATATAATAGACTGCGCTTCCAGATATAAAGCTTCTGTTCTACTTATATCTAAGAATAGTTCAGAGGTTGCTAAAGCATTTAGAAAAATATATAAAGATCAAAATAACCCATTGACATGGCCAAAGCTTCTACAATATGATGGTAGTCATGAATTTATGGGTGAGACTTCTCAACTAATGCAGAAGCACAATGTTACGATTCGAGTAATAGAACCCTATAGTCATAGAAGTCTTGCAATGATAGAACGTTACAATAAGACGGAAGAGGACATGCTCTATAAGATTCAGTATGCTATTGAGTCTATATCTTCTGATCCAAGATTAATAAGAGCATGGGTTAGATATTTACCAAAAGTTGTTGATTACCTAAACAATTATCCTACACACCTTATTAGAGAACCAGGTTCTTCAAAATGGGAATTAGCACCTTCAGAAGCTATTTTATTAGGAGAGGTCGAATCTAAGCCATCAAAATCATCGAAGCAACTCATTGGTAAGGATGAAATAGCATTAAAAAAAAGTGATTCTGTTCGCTATTTTTTTGCCAATGCTGAATAGGAAGGTGGGATGGAAGCAGTGCGTAGGAGCACTGATTCATACTGGAGTCCAAGTATTCACAAAATTTGAAAAATTGTAGTATCTAAAAATGAACCAGTTTTATATTATCTTGGGAGTAATGATGATGAATTTGCTCCAAAACAGGGATTTGTATGAGAGGAACTCATGCATTTGACTCGTGACCCTGAGCTTTCCCCTCAAAGTATATTATCCGTATATACTGTATATGCTTCTTCTACCAATAATGAGATAATTCAAGCTAAAAATTATGCTAGTCAACGTGGTAGAATTTGTCTTGGAAAAACTGGCCAGATATATAGACACGGTATCTATCTCTGGTCTTGTGAGAGTGGTGCACATCAATGGGAGTATCCATTAAAATATATAATGAAAAAATTCAAATGGTGTTCTCTATGCCAACTATTCAAGCAGCGAATGTCAATGCCGATATATTTTTGAGGATTTGTTAAGCAAAAAATTCCTACTATGTAGGGCTAAGTTTTTAGATAGGCTACACTTGGATGAATATAATGAGAAATTGTGTCTTGCATTCGAATTCCAGGGTCCTTAACACTATCATCATAATAGTTTCTATCACCAGGAGAATGAAAATCTAAAATCACAAAATATACGTGATCAAAAGAAGTGGGATATATGCAAGGACCAAGATATATGCCTTATCGAAGTGCTATACATATGTGATCTTTTGCTTTTTATTAGACATATGCTAATTGAGAAAGGGTTTTTGGATAAAGCGAAGGATTAAAAAAAATTATTTTTAGTATATCATTAGTAATACTTAATTTGATATAAAAATAAAAAAGCTTGAGCCAGTTGATAGGCTCGTATACTACATTAACGAGATTAAAGATGCTCAAAAATATAATAGCCATTCTAGTACGCCTCAATGGCCTTTCACTCTTCTAATTTCAGGTCATACTAATTCAGAGAAAACTAATAAAGTTCTTAATCTTATGCTTGGAAATAAGCTTTATCGGATGTTTAATAGAAAAAAAGATGGAAGCAGATATATTAAGAATAATGATTTGCTATTAATCGGCCACCAACTCAAGGAGCTGAAATATTTGTATCTCAAATCAGCTTATCAAATAATTGCTAATAGCCCAAAGCTATATCGTGAAAATATTTCATTTCAAGCTTTGAAGCCTGATAAAATCCCTAAGATAGATTCATTTTCTCCAGATAGAGGTACAGTAGCTATATTCAAAGATATATATGCTGATCCAAAGAAAGTGCAGGAGAAGATCATCCCTTATTTTGTTGAGGGGCGCCACTACAATGTCAGTTCGATATATGTATCCCAGAGCTACTTTGATTGCCCAAAGATAATACAAAAAAATCTCACACATGTCTGCCTATTTAATAGGTCCTGCACTATGGACGAGCTAGTTAGAATTGTGCGTCAATATGCTAATGACTGGTGTAGTGTGATTAAGATTATTGATAAAGCATTATGTGAGAAAAAATTCATTGTTTTCGATCTAACTGTATCTCGAAAGCATCCACACAGAGTACGTTTTGGCTGGGACCAAATTTTGGAAAAATAATATTTACTTTCTGTGCCTTATAATATGTGATATTATCGCATTCTATATATAATTTGAAAATACCACACATTAGTTGTCTACTATTTTTCTAATGCTCAGAATACTGCCTTCTTGCAATACCACTGGTTTCGAGTGAAATAAAAATCTATGAAATATGTATTAACGATTACTTACATTTTTTGTTTTTGGCTACAAATTTAAATCATGATATTCCTTGATATAGGTTGATAAAGAATCGCTAAAAATGCTATAAATTGCTAAAAAACGCTAGAATTACTAGAGTCAGCTATAAACTATAAAGAGTAAAAAATGGTTAAAACCAACCATAACTACTATTCTAGTTTAAATCCTAAAGTAGTGTAGGCGTTAAACAATCTGCAATATAGTTATAGCGATAAAATACCAGAAATGTGGTATTCTTGTATTCGTTGTCCATTTAAAAAACTTCTCGAACATAACTCAAAATACTTCTCCAAGAATAGATTCATTCAAATGATTGAAAGAGCATATGAAGAGTGTTTAGTTTATATTTATTGCACTGTATGTGACTCCTTAGTAATTATCCACAAAAATACAATCGAATATGCAAACGATCACCTAAAGAAATGTATTACTGAAACCACTAATATGCATTCTAATCCTGTACGAAAGAATATAAAAAAAGAGAGGTGAGTATCATCACTTAGCATTGATATAGTTGATAAGATATATGAGAGATATTATTTTATATACAGTAAAGGCTTGAGCTATTATGATTATAAATATTCAAATAAAAATGAAGTTAAAAAAAGGATTGTACTTCGCATAATTAACAGTATAACGGTTCTTCAACAGGCTTGGAGGATTTATAAGTTGAGACCCGAGACATGGGCAAGTCGAGTTTGGAATATGGTGAGAAATAATAATACTCCTGATGAGAAGAAGTTTTTAGGTATAACTCCTCGTCATATAAGAATTCCTGATAATTGATATATAGATTATTTTGGCCAAAAAATTCAAGCTAAAGATATGCCCACACATTATCAGAATTCTCCTATTTTATTCGATCATTATCTTTCTAGCATCTGGACAGAAAAGAAGAGAAAGCAGTTACACAATAGATTAGGTCTTGTATCATATATAGTTGCTTTTATAGTATTACATCAGCAAGACTATAGAATCGTCCAATATTTAGAATGGTCTTATATATTAAAGTGGCTATCGAATTTTGAATATTACTGTATTAAAGAACATTACAACAATAGCAGAGTAATCTTTGTTAAAAGTTCGGAATATGTGCGAATTGACTATTTCAATTCTGGAGACTTCTATTTTTAGGAAAAAGATGTTAACATAGATTTCTCAGATTTTAATAATAATTGTGAATATGTGCGCCAAGTTTTCCGAATTATAGATTCTTTATTAAAATAGCAAAGGCAGATTTTGCTCTGGGTCTTGTGCTAAAGAATATATATTCAAAAAATTATTAGATTGATTTGCAAAATATTTTTTATTGCTAATAGTAATAAAATTTTCTTGGTGTATACATTCGAATCACTTTATGTGGTGTGGTTCGAGGGTTTAAAATCCATGAAGTCTGCATCACCTTTCTTCTCACACACGCTTCATATTGAGGATAACGATCACGTTCAGGGCAAAAGAAAAAAAAAGTATATCTATTTATTTAGATTTTGAGGTGGATACATTCAAACTATTTCTTATCTTGTAGTTCGGTGAACTAACCATAAGAAGCTTGTTTGGTCTTCCTCTCCTTACAATAGGACAATGATAGTTGACGATCACGCCTTCAAAAAGTGTTTTATAATATGTATATAAAGAAAAATAAATTTTAGGGAGGTAATAGTCAGATCCTAGACCTGCCTCGAAAGGCTATAACTATACTTGAGAAAACTATATTATAAAAGGCGACTAGATTGTATATTTTTTGCGGAACAAACAACTACCTTCACCAAAGTACTGAGCTACCAAACAGTAATTATGAGTATGTTAAACCTCACAACACACTTAGACAGAGGCCCTATTATTTCAATAGTTGAAACAAATTTTTTTGCATAACTAAGTATACTTGTAACAAATAGTTATGGCAATTGTTTTATCGATACAAAAATAATCTAATCTAAAAGGATTTAAAATTTTTTAAGAGAATAAAAAAAGGTTTATATAAGGGCAATCTAAACTATTGTTATATGGCTCGC